AAATCCGAACAGGCTTTCTCGTTTTTTTATCTCCTCTCTTCCTTCAGTTGGTACTATTCTATTTTGGTTTAAATCCCGTCTACTGTTTGAGGTAGTATTTTGATATTTAGACTGGCAACAGTCTCTGGGCTATTGTCTCCCAGAATTGGCCATTTCCCTATCATTTCCTGCTGTTGTCTTTTATTGGTTGACAGCAAAGGTTTATTTAGATTGCAAATCCACGCCTTTTCAGCTGCATGATTTTGAAACGCTGAATAACTGTCAAACCTAACAAAAAATACCAATTTTTTAAAAAAATCTTGGCATCCTGAATACTAATCGAACAGTTAAAATTATTTTTATCAAGTCAGCTTTGAAATTTTCGCTACATGAATGATCAATGCTGTGTAATACAATGCGAACGGTACATACAGTAAATATTAATTCCATCGCAATTTTTCCTGCAAGCCTCCCAGACAAGTAATAATGTAAATATGCCTTACATTACTAGTTCTTTTTATTTACTTTCTAATTTTACTAGAAGGAATTTCTTTAAGAAGTCAGAATGATAATTAAATGCGGAGATGTCTGCTAAACCAATTTCATAATCATTTAGTGACCTGGCGACCAAATTTCGCTCTAAAATTTAGTCACAAACCTAATTTAATTAGTTTAACTTACAGTAGAGGCTCAAAAATATTATTATAAAATACTAATTAAAATAATAAACAAAATAATATAAGTAGGTTTTTACAATAAAAATACATTTATATAATGAAACCACATACCTAAATTTTATTAAAGCAAACGTTAAAATATAACATTTTATTTCATTATACATTATTTTAATTAATTTTTCACACATTTTAACAAGAAACAGATCAATATAAATAATAAAATAGTAAAAGTTTTTTGCCCCGAAAGAAAACCCGAAAGACATTATGAATCGTTTTACATGTTATATAATGCAACCACCCTTTTTTTAGTTAAATACAAGTCTGCACTTTTACAAGTGTTCTAAGAAAGTAAGCTAAAACGCACTTAAAAGTAGCGCAATATTAGTGAGAATAAGACTGATCCTGACCAATGACAGTATTTAGCTGAATTTTCGATATAATCCAATATGGCAACCGAAAAATACGGAAGACATTTCCATTTAGATATTTTAATAATTCAGACAACAGCAAAAAGAAACATGATGTATGAAAAATTCATAATTAGCCAATTACTTCCTAATATATGAGAGTACTAAGTAATATTTACATATAATAAAAGAAAGAGTCTGTGTGTCTTTAGTTCGTGTTGCACGTAAGCTAATAGACCCAGGGCTATGAAATTTGGTATATCGGTGCATCTAGACAAGAGCCAGTGCACCACGAAGCGATTTTTTCAAAATTCGAATCAGATTTTTTTTTTTTTTATCTTTTCAATTTTATCCTATCATTTTGAATAGTTTCATTCTTTTAGAAATGTGGTTTTTGGCAACAGTTTTTCATTCAATTGTATACTGGACTGTTGACTGTTGGAAAATCACCATTGTTGCCACTTGGGAATTGAGGGCGATAATTCTGTGCAGTTTTTAAATTTAATGTTTCTCTTGGATACTGGACGTTTGTTGAGAGAAGGCAAAGGGAAGTTAATTAATTTATTTATTAGGATAATTAATATTTGTATTAAGGGATATTTCTTATTTTATTGTAGTTTTGGTATATGTAATACATTTTTTTTTTAATTTGTGGGTTTTTTTTTTGGGGGGGGTGAAGTTGTACTGCAGAATAAAATTCTGCACAGTTTTAAAATTTAATTCCCTTTAGGCATTTTTCCGGTACATTTAAAAGCCAGACGAAGGCTGGCCGTGTAGCTGCCAGAACAGAATAATATAAGCTAAATTAAGATGCAAATACGTAATTAATTCATAGTCTGCTGTAAACAAGCCACCAATATTACATTACTCTAAGAAGAGCTCTAAGCTATGACAAAACACCCTCTAAGGATAGAAATAAAACCTCAGAAAAAGTGTTTGAGTAGTCGAACAAACAATTCGATACGTGTTCGAATTCAGACGAATGGAATAGCTGCACTGTGGTTTCCTAGTTTTCCCCATGTGTAAAGAGGTTACCACATATGGCTACAGTCCCTGCTAGACGGGACGTTTCTGAGAAACGAGATTCTGGTAGCACTGGTTTAAACGGAAGGATTCCTAGAAAAAAGAGCCCGCTGGAAGCGACGTCCCGCCTTAGCTTCGGAAATAATGTTGCGGCTACGCGGGATTTTTTCAAACCTCACCGAAAATGTCTCGGGTCCCGGGTAGAGACAACCAATCAGACGAAAGATCTGCTTCTGAAGGATCACGTGATCCCAATTTGAGCGATAATCGATTATTGTTTGGCGTTCAAGTCTTTGTAGTAAGAATGGTAACCTAGCTGCGTGTGGCGGGTTCTGAGAATTGTCCCTTTCGACATCAAGTCCCGCATAGCCGAAACATAATGTGATTGGGACCTAAAGAGAATATGAAACAGTTTCCTTTAGAAAGTCCCCCGCGCAGACACGTCTTGGGCAATCTGCCTTCTGTACTTATTTTAATTAATCAACCAACCAACGTTCCAATTAGGGAGAAAAACCCTCGTGTTCTTTCCTTCTAATAAGAATTAACAACAATACAAATCATTTTCAATATGTTATATGATCAGCTTAATTCGAGACAGTTGTTTATATTACGATCAATGCGGTTAATAAATTATTTAGTTTATGTTTTTTTTTTTTTTTTTTTTTTTTTCCTTAAATCTCTCTCTCTCTCTCTCTTCGGGTAAACTTTCAATTCCACTGGCATTTTCATCTCAAGCGCCATAAGTACTGGTACAACAATTTAGCATCAAAGATCAAGACAGAACGGCCAGATCTGTTATTCAGTGTTACATTTGATTAAAATGTTCAGTTTTCTTTTCTTTTCTTTCTTTCTTTTTCTTTTTTTAACTTCTCCTTTCTAATGGCGTTTCTTCTACTACATGTTTTCTCCAATGATTGCAAAACATTCTTTTCGAAATAGTCTATTGCTCTGTCGTTTGTCTGCCCCAAGACAAGTATCTTCTACCATTTCAGCTCAGACGAGTTTTGAACAAATGGTTGTCATTGAGCAAGATTCCATTGTGATTTGTCTGATCGTTAGTTAGTCGTCTGGATAACTGCGCATTGGTAGTGCCGAGGATTGCTCAATACATCATCAACAAATTGATACTTTAAAGAGTAGTTACCTCCACAGGGCGCCATTAAGGACCCCAACAGAAAGACTTTACTCGAATTTTCGAATGAAAATAGACAAGGTTTAAAATATTTATTCGATTAATAATTTCATGCCATAGAATGAATTATTCAAGTAATAATAATATATATCCACCCACAGCAGGAGGTAACTAATATGAGTTTAGCTAAAAGAGAAACACGGCAAAGAAAATTTAAAAATTCTGATTAAAATTTGCTCAGATTATCCACAAATTCAATTTTCAGCTCACTTTCTCAAGTACTAATAAATTTCGTTCCCTAGTTCTTAAAGATTTCCTTTCTAAACTTAGTTTATTGAGTAATTTATATTTCCTGTTACTACAAGTTCTGAATTATCAACCAAATTAAAGTAGCGTTGAAACTGGGCCTTAAAGAATAACCTACGTCTGAAAAAAAAAAGAAAATAACAAGTCTTCGATAGCGAGTAATAGGCTATAGAGATATTAGGTCATTTCGAAGTAGGAGACATGAAAAACACCCTCTAAGGTCCGTGGTTCGAGTCTCGGCGAGCAATGCCCTCGCCGGGACTCGAACCACGGACCTCCCCCCCGAATACGCACCGAGTGTGCTGACCTCTACACCACGAAGGCATAAGAAAGCGGGAGAAATACCTTATATACTCCACCCTTTAAAGGGCGACTGGGAATTAGGGGACCCAATCGCCAAATTCTTGTTGTGGAGAATCACTATCCACCAGGACGTTCCTTTCGGGCTAATGTCCGTTTGGGATAAAAATATTTAAAAACAGCATATCTTCAGAATTTCGGATAAACAGTTTCGCGCGCTGGAGATAAAATTGTTTTATTCCTTACAGTGCTGCCACCTTCAAATCATGAAGTTTGGTTGCTTTGAAACTGTTGAGTTTGTTAATCAAAAATTCGTTAAAATTTTATAAAACTCGGGCTTCCAGGTACCCATATTCGGGTAGAGGACTGCGTTACTCAAATTGATGGCACTATCGTTTTTTTTTCACAGTGCGAGAAACATACTTACATTCATGCAGATTCTTCATTATTTAATTACTTTGAATATAATACAGGGCGATATATTTGGTGGCAACAGTGAAACAGATGCTTATAGTGAACTGACGCAAAATGCCGTTTGGAAACCAATATTCCATTCGGGACTAACGTGTCTTTTGGAATAAAATTTTTAAAAAGTTCTACATCCGCTACGAAAGTGCTAGGGTCAGCCTGGCTACTTACCTGTATCCGAGTACGTTTGGCAAACGATACTTCAGAAAACACAACCTAGCTATTTGGTTTTAGAATATTTTTCTAGGCAGCATTTTCGTGATAAAGTATTTTTATTCACGTTAAACGCAGACGAAGAAAACGGCAATTACAGGTAGCCAAATGAAAATCCCATCAGCCGCTAACAAATATAAAGACGAGAAAATTTGCCTGTACTCTGATCTCGTCAGTACCTCATGGACCAGTGGAGAAGAATCTACAATAAGTGCCGAAAACAACGTCACATTAAAATAAAAAAACAAAGTCCTCTGATATTTTCATTTCAAGACTTTTATTCTTTACAAAATCATAAAAATAACTTTCATAAAAGGATATATGAACTAAGTAAGATGTTGGCGATCCAAAAGATTGGAAGGTATTTTTTCAGGGAAAAATGGAACATTCGAGATCAGAACAGGGAATTATTGTCCAAACAAATAACATTTTTAACAGTAAGTATTCCCCTTTTTCCTTCTTTCAATTCCTCTACAGAAGATCCTACCCCGCCTCTCCACACGTGACGCACCAAGTCCAGACATGTCCAGGCAAAGCGATAACGTTGTCAAGATGTGCACAAGGGGCCACAATCATTGAAGAAAGTGACAAGACGTGTACACACATAAAAATTTTTGCCAGTCATCTTTATCTTTTCTCGGATATGTCAAAACAACCGATGAACAAATTCCTCACAAAGTAAGTACAAAACTTCTTTCTCTTATTATTTTGCTTTGTCTGTTCTCATTGTTTTTATAAAGGAACTGAACTGTCAAATCAAAATTTAAGTACTATAAAATGCTTTTTTCCCCATATTTTTTTATACGTAAAAAGAATCGTTTAGAGTTCGCATTTTCGTATGATTCAACGCGTTAAATTCAGCACTTGTAACATTAATATAACATTCATTTTGGGAAAAAGTTCTAGTTCTGTTATATCTTTAATGGAAATAAACACTGCTTATTTTTTTAGTTCTCTTCCTATTACCGCTGTGAGAACACAGTTCATAATATTTACTATCATACATTGTTACTGAATAGAATTATGTATTTATTATATATTAATTTATATTTTACATATTGCTGCATATTTATTATTGTTATCAATTTATCATATATTAAGTATTAATTTATTACGTAACTTACTGCCAATTTATTATTATTATTATTATTACTAAAGCACACAAATTTGAAAATACATATTTACTTGGCTATAAAACTTTTTCTGATTTATTTTATTTTATATTTTGATATGGAAATATGTGTAGTGTTCATTTTTCACATAATGTTCCTTTAACCAACACGCTAAAATAATATTTAACCAATGGGACCTCGCAAATTGCCAATTCTGAGAGTTGTTGCCACTCTTTGGGCATAAAATTATTTTATTTTTATAATGAAAATCGTAAACTTTGCATCTCGGGTCTTCGAATTATAGCAGTGCATTGCATTGCATATGTATGAGGCAAGCAAGTAGGATTTTAAAATTGGAAAATTATAGGAAACAAAACAAAACAAAAAAAAAAATAAAACAGTTTTGAATTTAAGCTGAAATGTAATTTTATGTCTTAAAAATCTGAATAAAAAATATTAAATAACTCAATACATTCCGAAATTAATCCGCACTTTAAACATATAAAAAACCGCTTTAAAAAACATGTATATAAACACGTGTGTATTGTAAAGCGTGTTTATTTACGTATTATTTTATTATATAAACACATGTTTATTTCATGTTTATAAATCGTGCTTTTCAACAATGAATATACATATTAGTAACAATCAAATTTTCACTTAATTAAAAATTTTCCCATAATTAATTTATTAGTCCAAAGGGATTTGAATCCCGAAGGACTATTAGTTTCGTTTTGGCATTTTGCGTCGGACTCATAAATGTCGGTTCACTTTTCAAACTGTTGCCACAAAATGTTAGAGTCCTGCATTATATTTGAAGAAATTAAATAATGAAAAATCTGCATAAATGTATGTATATTTCTCGTATTGTGATAAAACAACGGTACATAGAGCCATCGAATTTTGAATGACGTAATCCTCCTACGAATATGGGCATGTGGAGACCAAACAAATATGTAGTTTGTAATTTGTTTTATGATCGATTTCCTATTTTTTAAAACTTTGACGAATTTTTGATTAACAAACTCAAGGATTTCAAAGCGAGCAATGGCAACGTTGTGCAGAAAAAACATTTTTATCTCCAGCGCGTGAGTCTCTGTATCGGAAATTCTAAAGATATGCTCGTTTTTTTAAAACTATTTTGCGATATTGCTGTTGCACTGGATCTTATGGTTTAAGTGCGAGGAACATGATATTTAATAAAGAAAGGTAACACACAAAATGTTAAAAAACGCCCCTTTGGACGTAATTTAAAATCTGTAACATTTCAGATTTTTTTTTTTTTAAAGCTGTTTTTAAAATTGATTTAGTAGACATCAAAATTCAAATGCGAAGTAAATAAAATAAACGAGTGCCTCCCGTTTGTTAATATCGTTTGTTTTGTTTCTCACTCTTCTTTCGATGCAAGGATAGTCTAGTATTACCCGGAGGTTTACAGTAATATCTGTTTTATAAGTTAGATCAGGGATTCGCAACCGGTGGTACGCAAGAGACAAATAGGTGGTATGCAAAGAAGCATAGTATTTTTAACTATTAAATTCAAAAATTAAACCCCCAACATACTGATTGAGTTTTTTCTCTAACATTCGTAAATTTAAGCAATCTGAGCTTTGTTCAAGAGTGGTGGTGGTAGTAGTACTTTGTAGTGGTGATATTAAAGGTTTTCAATTTTTCTTTAGATGGTACGCCAAAAGATTGAGAACCGCTGAGTTAGATGTTATTTTATTAACATTTACTAGGGAAATAAAGTGGTTAAATTATAAAATGGGTTCTTTTTCTTTCTTTTCTTAACCCAAAAGTGGCATTACTCCTAAATGGAATATTAATCTCGAAACCGCATTTTGCGTTAAATCACTTAAATGCGTTGTATCACTTTTCAAATAGTTGCCACCAAATACTCCGCCCTGTATTATATTTAAAGAAATTAAATAAAAAAGAATCTCAGTGGATGTACGTATGTTTCTCGCACTGTGAAAGAACAACGATACTTAGAGCCATTAAATTTTGAATAACTCCACCCGAACACGGGCACCTGGAAACACGAATTTTGTATTTCGATTTTGTTTTATTATCTGTTTCATATTTTGCAACACTTTAACGAGTTTTTGATTAAAAACGTCAACAATTTACAAGCGAGCAGTGGCAACACTGTACGAAATAAAACATTTTTATCTTGACCGCGCGAGATTATATATTGGAAATTCTAAAGATATTCTGTTTTTAAAATATTTTTATACGTAAGCGAAGAAAACGACCATTTGGGAAAAATATTTTTTTTTTTTTTTTTTTAATTTTATTTATTTATCTATTTATTGTTGTTCTCTCTCGCTTAAAACTATTTGCATTTTTGTCTTTTAATTTACGGCATGTTGCGTTTTGCATTTTATAGATGAAGTAAAATTACTTAATTAAATACATGGAGCCCTCTAAAGACAGTCATCCACGATTTCATACGATTTTAGTCTTCTGTGAAAATGATGATTTTGGAGAGGTGAACTTAAACACCGATATTCTTTACATTCTCAGAAATATTTAAGTCACTTTCGAAGGTGATCATAAGCAAGGAATCTGTAGAAAGGATGAACCTTTTTCATTTCTGCAATACTTAAAGTTTGCTTTTATGTATTTACAACACTTGTCTACTGCAGTTCAGTGCAAGTTATAAAGTAGTCGATGTAGTTAAAAACATGACTTTTCTAATGAGGGCATATTATGTACTTCGATTATGGGATAATTTAAGTAAATAGTATGTTATTTTTATACAATTCAAAACTTAGTAAAATAATTTATTTCTCGACAAATGTACATTACTTTTTATTACAATTTTTTTTAAAAAAACTGATAATTCTGATACTATGTCAAATTCTATTGCAATTTTTAATATGTATTTATTTAGTATTTATTTGAAAAATTCTGTATTTGTTCTCAAAGACAAATCTCAATAGTAAGAACGTTGTTCTTATTTCGAACTAATTTGATGAATAGCATCTTTACAAAAGTTTACTATTTAATTATTAAACAAATATCTTAAATATTTACTTCCCACACTGTCAGTTTTATTAATTTGTTAATATTTTAAGGCAAGAATACTATTATAATACTTTCGGGAGGAACAAATTACTTACAATATGGTACTTGTTTCTATGGAAACTTTAGGCCCACTGCAGTGTTTTATTTCACCTTGAATACTTAAAAGTTTTTTGTATGTGTATATTATTATTATAACTTGTGTAGAAAGACTATTACTATTTTAATACTCAAAGATCGTAAGTTAATAAGGTTCCAAATCATCCAAAAAAATTAATTTAAACGTGCTCTTTTTCTAATGCAAACACTATACATTAAAAGCTTTCTATTCAGGGCACGAAAACATCTTTGTCCAACATTATTGTGTGCTTTGATAAGTAGAAAATAACTCTCGTGTTTAAATTTACCGGAAAAAAATAATTTTTTACTTTCTTACATGAAGATGGCTGGCTTCTCCCCCCCTTTAATGACTTAACCATATAATCTTAATGAAATACGCAATAAAGTATAATACACAAAAAATTAAAATTCCCTTGTTTGCATTACAATAAGTTATTTTGGCTACAGGAAGGAAGATAATTACCTAGATTTTTCGAATATCCGGATTTACTGTGGTTCCAGTTAGTGTGAGTAATTAACGTTCTACTTTAAATGGTTTTGGGAAAATAAAGAAAGGAAATTACATCCGTAAATACATGACTGCCAGACACAAAAAGGGAAATGAAAACAATTTATTCTGAAATCAACCGAAAAGGACATTTCATATAAAACGAAATTCAAAATATATATTTTATGTTAATATAGGGGTTGTTGTAAAACAACAGAATTCGATGCTAAAAATATTCCATTAAAAATTTTAAGAATTTTACAGAAAGAACGCCAATCTTAAAAATAACATTATACATCTATTAGAAAACAAAATGTCGTTATTATAAAGTTAAATGTACCACCAGCATTAGAATGAAACCCATTCCGCTGATTCAGCCTACATAGTCATACTTTTCGAAACTGCCTCTTTTTAATAACAGATTTTTGCAAACACATAGCTACAAAAGTCAGTTCAATTATAATTTATACTCATATAAATTTTGTTACTCTTTTTAATCCATTAAGAATTTACCGGCAAAAAAATCGTTTCAATTCTTGCAATTATAAGAATAATGAAAAAAAAAAAAAAAAAAAAAAACTTCGTTTTAAGGGCCTGGCGCTTTATTTAATAGCCATTAGCCTTGAACCACTACAAGGGCCGGAAGTGGTGGCCATCTCATTATGGAAACACCAAAACCTAAATAAGTGGCCATCGTTGCCTCTTATGAAGGGGCGGACAGTTACAACTATGCCTTCTCCAGGTTTCGAAACCAGGCCCATCGCTATGGCAATCACAGTCACTAAGCACTATACCAGCTGGGCAGAATAAAAGCAAAATAAAATCCCCATATTCTAAATAGCGCCAATGGTGCACCAACGGCCGAGCGGTACAGTCAATGCAGACTTAGTTCAGTCCGGGGTTCGAATTCCGCCGCACGGATTGACTGCTTG